ACTACGTCGCCGCCCTGAGACGCCCGCCGTGGTCGTCGCAAGTGGGCACGGGCCCGCGCTGCGGACGCTCGCTCCTCCTTCTCTCCTCCTCCTCCTTCTCTCCTCCTCCTCCTCCTCCTGCTCCTGCTCCTGCTCCTCCTCCTCCTCCTCCTCCTCCTCCTCCTCCTCCTCCTGACTACCAGCTCCTCTTCTAGGGCGCAACTGCCGCTGGGAAGGTGGTGCCCATCTAGGTCTTGATGAATGCAATTCCCCCTCGGGTGGTCCTGCTCTGGGCCAGAGGCCTCCCCCAGGTGAGGTCGCAGGTCTTTGGCATCGCCCGCGACGTCGTTACGAAGATCCTTGCAGGTTTGTGTCGCCAGGTGGCCTGGAGTTCCTCTGACTGACTGACTGACTGACTGACTGACTGACTGACTGACTGACTGACTGACTGAAGCCTTGCGTCAAGCAGACGCGTGGGCAAGGCTGCACATGGGCAATCAGAAGCGACAAAAACACCCGACCAACGCAATGGGACTACAGACCTGGGCAGGTCACAGGAGGAAGAAAGAGGGCGAAGGGAGGGGAGGGAACGGAAAAACGGGATCGCAACCATCGCACTCCGTTTCTCTTCTTGTACCTCTTCGTCTTCTTATTCCTCCTCCTCCTCCTCCGCGCTTGTCCGCCGATTGGAGCAGGGGCGCGGCGTCTGCGCGGGGCCGAATCAACTCAATCCTCCTCGAGGACTCTCCTCCTCCTCCTCTTCCTGCTCCTTCTCCTCCTCCTCCTCCTCCTCCTCATCATCATCATCATCATCATCCTCCTCCTCTCGCTCCTCCTCCTCCCTGTTCCCCTCCTCCTCCCCCTCCTCTTCCTCCTCCTCATCCTCCTCCTCCTCACCCCCTTCTCCTCCTCCTCCTCCTCCCCCTCCTCCTCCTCCTCCTCCTCCTCCTTCTCCTCCTCCTTATCCTCCTCCTCCTCCTCCTCCCCCTCAAGCTTCTCTCTGGGCCCCGTCACCGTCGGCCCTCTCCGCCCCCGCCCCCGTCGACGCAATCTGAATCAGAGCGAGGGGGCCGAACGGTCATTCATTTTCCCTGGGTGCGTGGCTGAAGTGCGGACCCGTTGTGAGGATTATGCTTGTTTTTGTTGTTGGTTGTGGTGGTGGTGTTGTTGTCGTTGTCGTTGTCGTAGTCGTTGTCGTTGTCGTTGTCGTTGTCGTTGTCGTTGTCGGTGTCGTTGTCGGTGTCAGTGTCGGTGTCGTCGTTGTTGTTGTTGTTGTTGTTGTTGTTGTTGTTGTTGTTGCTGTTGTTGTTGTTGTTGTTGTTGTTGTCGTTGTCGTTGTCGTTGTCGTTGTCGTTGTCGGTGTCGGTGTCGGTGTCGGTGTCGGTGTCGGTGTCGTCGTCGTTGTTGTTGTTGTTGTTGGTGTTGTTGTTGTTGTTGTTGTTGTTGTTGTTGTTGTTGTTGTTGACATTGACGTTGTTGTTGTTGGTGGTGGTGGTGGTGGTGGTGTTGGTGTTGGTGTTGTTGTTGTTGTTGTTGTTGCTGTTGTTGTTGTTGTTGTTGTGGTTGTTGTTGTTGGTGTTGTTGTTGCTGCTGCTGCTGCTGCTGTTGTTGTTGTTGTTGCTGCTGCTGCTGCTGCTGCTGCTGTTGTTGTTGTTGTTGTTGTTGTTGACGTTGTTGTTGAACTCTAACTTCTGAAGAAAAATGTTGTTCATCCCCCACCGGTGCATACTGTTTTTCTCCATCAAAGTGTGCCCCTCGACGCTTGCACCGTGTTTTTTGACAGGGAAAGTCTTGATTCTGAAACTGTGCCCCTGGCCCCCGGGTTACAACAACAACGGCTCCCGCCTGAGCTTTACCCACAATTTAGCCAGGACCCCCGCTCCTGCCCGAGATTTCCTCGCATTTTGTTCAGGAATCGCGCTCTCGCTTGGGACTTCCTTACAATTTATTCAGGAATCGCTCACCCGGCACTCTGGAGTCGCGCTCTCGCTGGAGGCCTGTTTGCACTTTACTGACGAATAGCGCCCTTGCGTTGGAGTTTCCTGCAAATTACTCAAGCGCCGCGCCGCCGACACCAAGGCACCCAGGAGTCGCGCTCACGCTTAGCACTCCCTCACAGATTACCTAGGAATCGGGATCTCGCTGCCCTTCGTGGCCCCGTTGCAGCCCTTCGTGGCCCTCTCGCTTTGTTTCGTGGCCCCGCTGCAGCCCTTCGTGGCCCCCTGGCTTTGTTTCGTGGCCCCGTTGCAGCCCCTCGTGGCCCCCTCGCTTTCCTTCGTGTCCCCGTTGCAGCCCGTCGTGGCCCCCTCGCTGCCCTTCGTGGCCCGTTGCAGCCCTTCGTGGCCCCCTCGCTCCCCTTCGTGGCCCCGTTGCAGCCTTTCGTGGCCACCTCGCTGCCCCTCGTGGCCCCATATATGTACGCCTTTCGTGTCCCCGCTCGTTCGCGCCCGTGGTGGCCCCATATGTATGCCCTTCGTGGCCCCGCTGTCGCCCTTCGTCGCCCCCTCGCTGCCCTTCGTGGTCCTGTTGCTGCCCTCAGTGGCCCTGTCCGTGCCCTCCGCGGCCCACCGTACGTATGCCCTTCGTGGCCCCCGCTCGTTCGCGCCCGTTGTGGTCTCATGTGCGTGCCCTTCGTGGCCCCGCTGTCGCCGTTTGTGGCCCCCGCATTGTCCTACGTGGCCCAGTTGCTACCCTCAGTGGCTCCGTCGTTGCCTTCTGTGGCCCCGTATTATCTGCCCTTCGTGGCCCCCGCTCGTTCGCGCTCTTCGTGGCCCCATACGCATGCCCTTCGTGTCCCCGCTGTCGCCCTTCGTGTCCTCCGTGGCCCTGCTGTCGTTCTCTCTCGCTCTCGCTTTCGCTCGTCGTCGTCGTCGCCGTCGTCGTCGTCGTCGTCGTCGCTGTCGTCGTCGACGTCATCGTCGTCGTCGTCGTGGTCGGTCCCCTGTCCGTCCCTCTTTGGGTCGGATCGACGGTCCGCGGCCGCCCCGCCGATCAGCGCTGCCGCTGGCCAGGCCGACGGTCCGCGGCCGCCCCGCCGCTTGCCGGGGCCCGGTATGCAGGGAAGAAAAGTATACCCCCCAAAAGAGGTTCGATCGAAGACGAAAAGGGCGGGTATCGAGGGTTTGGGAAATACGCGTTCTTGGACACTCGAGAAGAAAAGGGCGAACAGTCTGAAAATGATTGTTGTTGTTATCGTCGTCCCCCCCACGACCCGGCCCGCGACCCACCCGCGACCCACCTCGCGACCCACCCGCGACCCACCCCGCGACCCAACCGCGACCCACCCGCGACCCACCCCGCGACCTGCTCGCGACCTGGCCCGCGACCCACCCGCGACCCACCCGCGACCCACCCGCGACCCACCCGCGACCCCGCCCGCGGCCCACCGGCGACCCACCGTCGACCCACCCGCGACCCATTTGCGACCCAACCCGCGACCCACCTACACTGTTTTAGCAACTTGCGGCGGGCTCGTTGTATAGCTTGACAATATTTGAGCCTGCGGCGGGTTTCTTCAAAGCCTCGCAGACTGCCGACGCCCCCGCCGCCCCCTCAGTCTTATCCGCAACTGCGGGGTGCTACGTACGATTCTCCTCTCCCCCGAAGGCCCCGAGGTCGTAGCCTGCCTCCCCTCCACTCCGCGTAAATACTTGTCCTCCACATCCGAGGTGGGCTTTTTGTTTTCTCTGGCCCCCCCCCCGCGCAGGATCTCTCCTTCTCCTTATCTTCCTCACATTGCTCCCCACATCATGAGTGGAGTTTTTGTTCGCTACATCCAAAGGGGGCTTCTGTTTTCAATGGGCACCCCGCGCAGGAACAATGACACCCACTTTCTTCTCACTGACACCCTCATCATCATCATCATCATCATCATCATCACCATCATCATCACATCATCAACATCATCATCATCATCATCATCATCATCATCATCATCATCATCATCATCATCAACATCACCACCACATCATTATCACTTACTCACTCACATTCCATCGATCACCTTATTCACTTACACTCCATCCATCGTTCGCCCGCCTGGCGGCCTTGGGTGTTAGCGTGGCCTGCCCCGACTCGGCGGGCAGCTTCTCGGACGCGTGCGCGGCCATGCACGCGACGAAGCTACGGCGGTACGCGGCGGTGGTCCCCGAGCTCGCGGACGAGGGGGTCGAGTACCGGCCCCTCATCTGGAGCTGCTGGGGCCGCCCCCATGGCGATGCGAGCGCCGCCATCCACTCCATGGCGGCAGCCGCGTCGCGCCGCCGGGGCGTGGCAGCTCTAGAGGTGCTCGCGCGCCGGGCCAAGACGCTGGCTGGCATCCAGCTCTGGCGCAGGGCGGCTGCCATGGTGGCCGCGTGCGTGCCGACGGCGCCGGCCGCCGACGCAGCGGAGCTGATCCCTGCAGCGCGCGAGCGCCGCCTGGGCGAGCTGGGGATGGCCGGCGCGGCGGGCGCCGAGCAGGAGGAGGACGCGGATAAAGGCGAACGCGGGCCGGACGTGGAGCTGGCGGCGGCAGAAGCCGGCGTTCGCGCGCTGGACGCGGGGCCACCGGCGGCGGCGAGCGCCGCGGGGGCGGCGGCAGCGGCGGCGGCGGGGACGGCTGCCAGGGAGACGGCGGCTGCAGCTGCCGGGCCGGCCGGCGCCAAGGGCGGTCGCGCGCCAGACGCGGGGCCACCGGCGGCGGCGGGCGCCGCGGAGGCGCGCGGGGCTGGTAGCGGGCAGGCGGCGGCAGCGGCGGCGGCAGCGGCGGCGGCGGGGGCGGCTGCCGGGGGGACGGCGGCTGCTGCAGGGCCGGCCGGCGGGGCCAGCGCGGGCGGGCCAGCGCCGGCAAGGGGCCCCGCGTGGTTCGCGGCCGTACAGGCCGTCTACGGCCCAGGGCCGCCGGGGACCACAGGCGCCGCTGCTGCCCGGGTGCCGGCCCCGGGCCCAGGCGGGCGCTGAGCCGCCCCTGGAGGCGGGCGCTTGGGAGCCGAGCGCGCGGGGGGCGGAGTAAACAAAAAATATCCGGGCAAAGCAACCTAACAGCGATGTGTAGAAGCATATCTGAAAGCATTCCCCTTTAAGATTCAGATGAAAATCCAGTTGTAGAATTTTGCTGTTCTCGCAGTCGTAGTCGCATTCGCGATGACAGTCGCAGCGGCAACGGCAGTCGCAGTCACAGCCTCAACCTCAGCCTGCCTCAGCCTCAGCCTCAGCCTGCCTCAGCCTCAGCCTGCCTCAGCCTCAGCCTCAGCCTGCTTCAGCCTCAGCCTCAGTCTGCCTTCGGCCTCGGCCTCAGCCTCAGCCTGCCTCAGCCTCAGCCTGCATCAGCCTCAGCCTCAGCCTCAGCCTGCCTCAGCATCAGCCTGCCTCAGCCTCAGCCTCAGCCTGCCTCAGCCTCAGCCTCAGTGTGCTTCAGCCTCAGCCTCAGTCTGCCTTCAGCCTTCAGCCTCAGGCCTCAGCCTCAGCCTGCCTCGGCCGCAGCATCAGCCTGCTTCAGCATTCAAAATGTGGCCCAGGAGCTAAGTTTGGAAACTAGAAGAACACGAAGTGGCCTACAGTTGGCTCCGGGCATTCAAAATGTGGCCCGGGAATGGAGTTCTGGGAACTTGAAGAGCACGAAGTGGCCTACAGTTGGCTCCGGGCATCCAAAATGTGGCCCGGGAATGGAGTTCTGGGAAGTCGAAGAGCACGAAGTGGCCTACAGTTGGCTCCGGGCATCCAAAATGTGGCCCGGGAATGGAGTTCTGGGAAGTCGAAGAGCACGAAGTGGCCTACAGTTGGCTCCGGGCATTCAGAATGTGGCCCGGGAATGGAGTTCTGGGAGGTCGAAGAGCACGAAGTGTGTGACTGTTTGCGAAAAACGAGTGCGGCGGCAGCCGCGGCGGCAGCCTGTCCGGGTCCCGCCCCGACGCGGCGGGCGCCGAGCAGGAGGAGGACGCGGAGGAAGGCGAACGCGGGCCAGACGTGGAGCTGGCGGCGGCAGAGGCCGGCGCTCGCGCGCTGGACGCGGGGCCACCGGCGGCGGCGAGCGCCGCGGGGGCGGCGGCAGCGGCGGCGGCGGGGACGGCTGCCAGGGAGACGGCGGCTGCAGCTGCCGGGCCGGCCGGCGCCGAGGGCGGTCGCGCGCCAGACGCGGGGCCACCGGCGGCGGCGGGCGCCGCGGAGGCGCGCGGGGCTGGTAGCGGGCAGGCGGCGGCAGCGGCGGCGGCAGCGGCGGCGGCGGGGGCGGCTGCCGGGGGGGCGGCGGCTGCTGCAGGGCCGGCCGGCGGGGCCAGCGCGGGCGGGCCAGCGCCGGCAAGGGGCCCCGCGTGGTTATTCGCGGCCCTACAGGCCGTCTACGGCCCAGGGCCGCCGGGGACCACAGGCGCCGCTGCTGCCCGGGTGCCGGCCCCGGGCCCAGGCGGGCGCTGAGCCGCCCCTGGAGGCGGGCGCTTGGGAGCCGAGCGCGCGGGGGGCGGAGTAAACAATAAATATCCTGGCAAAGCAACCTAGTAGCGATGTGTAGAAGCATATCTGAAAGCATTCCCCTTAAGATTCAGATGAAAATCCAGTTGTAGAATTCTGCTGTTCTCGCAGTCGTAGTCGCATTCGCGATGACAGTCGCAGCGGCAACGGCAGTCGCAGTCACAGCCTCAACCTCAGCCTGCCTCTTCCTCAGCCTCAGCCTGCCTCAGCCTCAGCCTGCCTCAGCCTCAGCCTCAGCCTGCTTCAGCCTCAGTCTCAGTCTGCCTTCAGCCTCGGCCTCAGCCTCAGCCTGCTTCAGCCTCAGCCTCAGTCTGCCTCAGCCTCAGCCTCAGCCTCAGCCTGCTTCGGCCGCAGCATCAGCCTGCCTCAGCATTCAAAATGTGGCCCAGGAATGAAGTTCTGGGAACTAGAAACACGAAGTGGCCTACAGTTGGCTCCGGGCATTCAAAATGTGGCCCGGGAATGGAGTTCTGGGAACTTGAAGAGCACGAAGTGGCCTACAGTTGGCTCCGGGCATCCAAAATGTGGCCCGGGAATGGAGTTCTGGGAAGTCGAAGAGCACGAAGTGGCCTACAGTTGGCTCCGGGCATCCAAAATGTAGCCTGGGAATTGAGTCTTGGGAAGTCGAAGAGCACGAAGTGGCCTACAGTTGGCCCCGGGCATTCAGAATGTGGCCCGGGAGTGGAGTTCTGGGAGGTCGAAGAGCACGAAGTGTGTGACTGTTTACGAGTGCGGCGGCAGCCGCGGCGGCAGCCTGTCCGGGTCCCGCCCCGACGCGGCGGGCGCCGAGCAGGAGGAGGACGTGGAGGAAGGCGAACGCGGGCCAGACGTGGAGCTGGCGGCGGCAGAGGCCGGCGCTCGCGCGCTGGACGCGGGGCCACCGGCGGCGGCGAGCGCCGCGGGGGCGGCGGCAGCGGCGGCGGCGGGGACGGTTGCCAGGGAGATGGCGGCTGCAGCTGCCGGGCCGGCCGGCGCCGAGGGCGGTCGCGCGCCAGACGCGGGGCCACCGGCGGCGGCGGGCGCCGCGGAGGCGCGCGGGGCTGGTAGCGGGCAGGCGGCGGCAGCGGCGGCGGCAGCGGCGGCGGCGGGGGCGGTTGCCGGGGGGACGGCGGCTGCTGCAGGGCCGGCCGGCGGGGCCAGCGCGGGCGGGCCAGCGCCGGCAAGGGGCCCCGCGTGGTTCGCGGCCCTACAGGCCGTCTACGGCCCAGGGCCGCCGGGGACCACAGGCGCCGCTGCTGCCCGGGTGCCGGCCCCGGGCCCAGGCGGGCGCTGAGCCGCCCCTGGAGGCGGGCGCTTGGGAGCCGAGCGCGCGGGGGGCGGAGTAAACAATAAAAAAACACCCACACATGAGGAAGTACCAGGCGGGAGTCTCGTTTGTGAGTGAATTGCAAGAAAATCTGAAGCGGGATCCTCTTTCCTGTGGGCCCCGCAGCTCCTGTCACTAATCCGAGCGGGCCACCGAGGAAGAATCAAGCAGGAGCCTCGTCTGTGAGTGACTTGTGCGGAAGTCTCAGGCAGGACCCCCCTCCTCCCTATGGGCCCCGCGCCTCATGTTTTGAATCCGAGCGTGTCATCTGGAAATTGTAACTGTCGTCGTTGTTGGGCGTCTGAGGCTTGAATATGGAGGAACTATCAAGCAGGATCCTCGTTTGTGAGTGAATTGCGAGGAAGTCTCGGGTGGGAGTTCCCTTTCTATGAGGCCCACACTTCGTCATGGTAATCCGAGCGGGGTCATGCGAATCCTGTCGCTGTCGTCGCGTTGGAGCCCTTCGGGACTCATTCGGGAAATGAGGAGTGCGCGCTGGGCCAGCTCTTTCGCCCCCGCTACTTACCGCAGGGGATCTGGCTGCAGGTGCACGGTTTCAAGGAGTCGCCGATCTGCCAAAAGGTCGCCGAGCTGTTGCGACAGGGCGCCGAAGGCGCCGACGACGACGGCGAGGCCGAGGCGCGGGCGAGGATCTTGCTCATGTTCAGGCCCAGCGATCAAGAGTTCACGTGGCGGAGGTCGGAGCCGCATGTCGTGCGCCGCTCGGGGTTCACCCGGGCGCGCGCGCGTCCTACCTCGCCCCCGCGCTGTCGTGGGGCAAGACGTTGTACAATGGCGTCACCATCGACTGCGCGAGGAACGAGGGCGCTGGCCGCACGGGCACGTCGGGCGAGCAGTGGCGGCTGCGCCTCCACGTCATGGTCTCCCGCGCCACGCGCGCGCGGAACGCGCAGATCCCGCGGCCGCCCTCGCGCGAGTTTCTGGGGCGCTGGTCGCCGGCGTCCTTGCAGAGGTCGCTCAAGAAGTTCGATGAGAAAAAAAGCGAAGACCTTCAGGGGTGAGGCAGAGCGGTTCGCAGCGCGGCCGGGCTTCGCGCTGCCCCCCGCCTGAGCGCGGCCGCGCCTGCCTCGATGCCCGCGGGGTTGCCCCGACGGCCTGGCCCGGCGCCCCAAGACGGCTTTTAGAGGTCCCCCAAGACGGCCCCCAGAGGCGAAGACTTCAGCGTTCTTTCAGGAAGCCGCATGTGCTTAGCTTTTTCATTGTTTGGTCACACCAGCGTCCAAGGCGTCCCAATATGCCCCGGAGATCGCCCCAAGATGGCCCAAGAGGCGGGATTGAGGACTGGCGACCGCGACGGCGACGACGATGACGACAGCGTCTCACGCACGACTGAGGGTCGGCTGGCGTTCGCTTTTTGTTGAAATACACCTTGCGGCTCAGTCTCTCAATGTCGCCCGGTGCCAACAGTGTATGGGTGGCGGGGAACCGATTTGATCGATGCGTTGTGATTATTTTGAAGAGGTGGTTTCCTTTTGAAAACTTGGCTGCTGTTGTCGATGCTTATGTTTTGCATTATCGGCTCCACAAGAGAATGCCGTGAGTGATATGGGCACCCCAGAGATGGGGAGAGGCGTCAAAGGGTCGGACATTTGCCCGTTGGCGCCCAAATTGTGGGGACGCTCCCTGCGAACAGGTGGTTTTTGGAAGTTGGACATGTATTTTGAGGCCGTGGCAATCGCGGTGTAGAAGGCATCACTTTTGGGCGCCACAAGGGGGAGGCGCCAGGGAGTACATCACGGGTGCGTTCGCGCCCAGATCGCGGGGACGTGTCAATTGAAACGCTTGTTCTGTGAATGTCGACGCGTCTCTTTATCGGGCCGCGCAGTCGACGCGACGACGTAGCAGACAGACGACTTGGGCATTACAGTAGTAGGCCGCCAGGGGGCAGGACACTTGCGCGTTAGTGCCCAGATCGTGGTGGTATATCACGCGGGACGCTTGCTGTTGAGAAGTAAACGTGTCTTTGTTCAGGGCTGCGTGACATTTGCGATGGAATGGCGGGCAGGACACTTACCCATTGGCGCCTGCCTTGTGGGGATGCCTCAATCGGAACTCTGGTTTTTATGATTCGATTGTGCTTGCAAGTGTTCAGGTTTGCCTGGTCGTCGTGATGTAGCAGGCGTGGCATCTGGGAACCGCAAGGGGGGGCCGCCATTCGCATGCGTCCCCGCCACCCATTTCGGTACACCCCTCACGCGCTTCATGGCCTCATAAGAGAAAGAGACAGAGAGAGAGAGAGAGAGAAAGAGAGAGAGAGAGAGAAAGAGAGAGAAAAAGAGAGAGAGAGAGAGAGAGAGAAACAGAGAGAGAGAGAGAGAGAAAAAAAAAAAAAGAGAGAGATAGAGAGAGACAAAGATCCGCTGAATGTCCCAGTGGTGCCGTTCGCACGCGTCCCCGCCACTCCTTTCGGCGCGCCCCTCACACGCTTCGTGGCCCCATAGGAGCTCGCCGAAGGTCCCAGTGGCACAGTTCGCATGCGTCCCCGCCACCAATTTCGGCACACCCCTCACCGCTTCGTGGCCCCAAAGGAGCTCCGCCGAAGGTCTCAGTGGCACAGTTCGCACGCGTCCCCGCCATTTCGGCGCACTCCTCACACGTTTTATAGCTCCATAGGAGCTCCGCCGAAGGTCGCAGTGGCACATTTCGCACGCGTCCCCGCCACTCATGTCGGCACACCCCTCGCACGTTTCCTGGGCGATAGGAGGTACGCCGAAGGTTTCACTGAAGGAGTTCGCATGCGCCCCCGCCACCGATTCCGGCACACCCCTCACGCGTTTCGTGGCCCCATAGGAGCTCCGCCGAAGGTCCCACTGGCACAGTTCGCACGCGTCCCCGCCACTCATGTCGGCACGCCCCTCCCACGCTTCCTGGGCCCATAGGAGCTCCGCCGAAGGTCCCACTGGCACAGTTCGCACGCGTCCCCGCCACCCATTTCGGCACACCTCTCACGCGTTTCGTGGCCCCGAAAAAGCTCCACCGAAGGCTCCAGCGACATAGTTTACATGCGTCCCCGCTATCCATGTCGGCACCTTTCACCCGGTTCGTGGCCGCATACGGGGCTCCACCGAAGGCCCCAGGGGGTGTGGCCACATGCGTCCCCGTCACCCAATGTCGGCACACCGTTCACATGGTTCGTGGCCCCACGGGGAGCTCCACCGAAAGCCGCGGGGGGTGCGTCCACATGCGTCCCAGGAACTTATTCCGTCACACCCCTCACACGGCTCGTGGCCCCAGAGGGAACTCCACCGAAGGCCCCACGGGGTGCGTCCACATGCGTCCCAGGCGGCACCCATTTGGGCACACCCTTCACACGGTTCGTCTCATTTCCCAAGCAGAAATCGCAGCTGCATATGGTTGGGTCCTTCGCCATGCTAATTGTTTCCTTTGTGGCGGGGCGTCGGTTGCTTGCTGCTGGCGCCGGCGCTGTGCGCCTGCTCTGCTCTTCCTCTGCACCGTTTCCACTCTCTCTCTGTCTCACTTTCTCTCTTTCCGTCTCCGTGCGTCCCCTGCCGCTTCTCGCTTCGGCAACCGCCCTCCCCCGGTCCCCCCCCCGTATTGAGCTACAGCAACCGCTCCCGATACGTTTTCATTTCTTTGTAGTAGTCTTTGTAGTAGCAGCAGTAGTAGCAGTAGCAGTAGCAGTAGCAGTAGCAGTAGCAGTAGTAGTAGTAGTAGTAGTAGTAGTCGTAGTAGTAGTAGTAGGAGGAGTAGTAGTAGTAGTAGTAGTAGTACTACTAGTAGTAGTAGTAGTAGTAGTAGTAGTAGTCGTCTTACTAGTAGTAGTAGTAGTAGTAGTAGTAGTAGTCGTAGGAGTAGTAGTAGTAGTAGTAGTAGTAGTAGTCGTAGTAGCAGTCGCAGTAGTAGTAGTAGTAGTCGTCGTCTTACTAGTAGTAGTAGTAGTAGTAGTAGTAGTAGTAGTAGTAGTAATGGTAGTGGCAGTGGTAGTGGTAGTGGTAGTGGTAGTACTCGTCGTCGTAGTGGTAGTAGTAGTAATTGTAGTAGTAGTAGTCGTAGTCGTCGTCGTCGTCGTAGTAGTAGTAGTAGTAGTACTACTACTACTACTAGTCGTAGTAGTTGCAGTGGTAGTAGATATAGTGGTAGTAGTAGTAGTAGTAGTAGTAGTAGTAGTAGTAGTAGTAGTAGTAGTCGTAGTATCAGTAGTGGTAATATTAGTACGAGTAGTAGTTCTCGCAGGACGAGTACTCATAGTGATAGTTGTACACGTCGTAGTCGTAGTTGTAGTGGTAGTAATAGTCGTAGTTTCCGGGAGTAGTCGTAGAAGTAGGAGTAGCAAACATTCTGGTAGTAGTTATAGTAATAGTAATAGTAGTAGTAGTAGTAGTAGTAGTAGTAGGAGTAGGAGTAGTCGTAGTCGTAGTCGTAGTCGTAGTCGTAGTCGTAGTAGTAGTCGTAGTAGTAGTAGTAGTAGTAGTAGTAGTAGAAGTAGTAGTAGTAGTAGTAGTAGTAGTAATAGTCGTAGTGTAGTAGTAGTAGTAGTAGTAGTAGTAGTAGTAGTAGTTAGTAGTAGTAGTAGTAGTGGTAGTAGTGGTAGTAGTAGTAGTAGTAGTAGTAGTAGTAGTGGTAGTAGTGTCGTAGTAGTAGTAGTAGTAGTAGTAGTAGTAGTAGTAGTAGTAGTAGTAGTAGTAGTAGTAGTAGTAGTAGTAGTAGTAGTAGTAGTAGTAGTAGTAGTAGTAGTAGTAGTGGTAGTGGTAGTGGTCGTAGTAGTA